TGGCCCATAAACGTGTTTATCTATAAAATTATGATGAATATTAAAAGATCATTGCTAAATTTTACATGAAAATAATTAGCACAGAGTTGATATGTGTACTCTATATTAAAGTTTAATTTAATTTAATTATGCTGCTTCTGATTTTATTTGTTATTAAATATTTTCTTTGCAGTTCAAAGTGACAGGTGGTGGCGATGGTCGTTGTATTGGTGAATTTCGCGTAGCAAAATCTCATTTAAATGCTGCCGGTACCTTGCATGGTGGATTTATTGCAACCATAGTCGATCATGTTACAAGTTATGCTCTAATGTCGGCCGATTCACATCCTGGCACAAGTGTCGATCTGCGCGTTAGCTATATGTCACCAGCCAAGGAAAATGATGATGTAATTGTCGATGCCAAAACATTAAAGGTGGGCAAATCTATGGCATTTATTGATTGTGTTCTAAAGAGAAAATCAGATGGTTCGATTATTGCTCAGGGTGGACAAACGAAATATGTTAATTTTAAAAAATAAACGTATATAATGTTGATTTGTTATTGTTAATAATGTGAATAAATATTGCATTTATATATTACTATGAATATACACGTTAATATGAAATAAACATAATAATAAAATAAATATGTTTGTTGAACTGCCCTGAAGTCCTTCTTGCATCAAATATATTTACACATACAACAATAACAACTGAAACTTTACGACATTAATACTTATAATCAGTCGGTATGTAAGCGGGTTTATATTGGAATCATATCCATCAATAGTTTATTATACAGGATATATTAATTTTGTTTGTAACTTACCTAAATATTAATTTTCGACCCTATAAAGGATATACTTAAGGGACCCCCCCATTCACAATTTTTTATTTTTAAGATTTTAAATGGGCTGGTAAATGAATACCAATGATTGTTAAGGTTTGTAACTTTGCACATATATATTTGAAGATTTAAATAGGAAGAAAAATAATTTACAAAAAATGTTTGTTGTTGTTTTTTGTGATCAAAGAAAAGTACTTATTTTTGATGGCGGACATGATAACTCCTCACTGGAACATCGGAATCCGAAACTTCAAACGGTGTTACAAAGAGTAGATGTCTGGCTCTCGTATGAACTAGGATTATTGACTTCGCACAACAATTAACAAAATGGCGGAACTTTGAAATTTTTGTTAGAAAATCGCCTATTTTTTTACCACAAACTAAGTTAAAAAATAAGGAAGTTCTTCACCGATTGACTTTGTCCTAGTGCCCGCCATTCGCAAGAGAGAAAATCGCGCTTAAAGTTTGGGAAGCCCTTCAGCCGTCACTTGATGCTGACACAATAAATCGGTTATTTCTTCAAGAGTTCTTGAGATTTTCACTTGAAATTTTGTAGGGACATTCTAGAATTAGAGTAGATTCGAATTAAATAAAAAAATTAACACCGAGCATGTGGGGGGGGGGGGGGGGTCCCCTTAATTAGCCTAAAATTTTATGTCGACATAAGTTTCGTTCGCTTACTTTTTCAATAACATTAAATATTAAATTAAATTAAAATTAAATATCAGCTGATGGTACAAAAAAATCTTACTAAGTACATTTTTCCTTGTAAGAATTTGCAAATACTCAGTAGCACTACTGTCAGATGTGCTCTTTCAATTCACTCTCTTTTACTGGACGAACAACATTTTGTAATTATTGTACAAATTATTGAGTAAACGAACGAACGGTTTTTAAATGGATTAGGTGTAGATCCGATATTACGATACCCCCAAAAGATTGGTATTTTGGGCACGTTATTCAACCGAAATTGCTGTAATTTGGTATTTGGAGTTGTAACAGCCACCTTTGAACTAATTGAGAAGGAATCTGCCAAAGTGGGTCTGGCAGTAAATGGCGAGAAGACCAAGCTATACCATCAGTTTGGTCTTCTCGCCATTTACTGCGAACGCGTAAGACGTCCAGTAGACTCGGACCAAGTGTGGAACTTGGCAACTACAGCTTCGAGGTAGTTAAAGATTTTATATACCTCGGTACCGCCATAAACAAAACTAATAACATCAGTTTTGAAATTCGGAGAAGGATATTGTTGGCCAACAGATGCTATTATGGTCTAAGTAAGCAGTTTAGAGACTAGGCCAGACCAAACTCACACTCAAGACGCTGATACTACCCGAATTGGTGTATGGATCAGAAGCATGGGTACTTGCGCAAGGGAAAACATCTTCGATCCGATCTGCGACGACGGTGAATATCGTCGTAGAAAGAACCACAAGATTTACCATATATATACACGGACATCGACATTGTCAGTCGTAACGAGCTGCAGCGACTAGGGTAACACACCTATTACGGTACTTCCAAAAGTTGTGTATTTTTGGAGAGATTGGGAACGTTTTCTATAATTTGTAATTTTGAATAAAATATGTTGTAGTATAAAATGTCCATACCAATAATATTGGTCCCCTTTTTGGGTAGCTCCTATATAACGGCCCTCCCTTTTTGTCATTTTATCTATTTTGAGGATTTGGAACACATCTCCCAGCTGAATTGGCTGTATTACGTTACCCCCTTTTTATATTAAAAGAGGTACATTTTCGTGCTGAAAATTGTCACTTTAGATCCTACGTTGTATTTCATAGTTACCAGTGGACTTTTCCATTACTTCGGAAGTTTTAACCTCACTTTTCAAAATCATTTATTGTAGTATAGTATTGTATGGGTATGGAAATTTAAATTCAATTAAAAAATTGGCCTTTTCCATTCATTTATCCTTCAAGAGGAATAGTTACTAAATCGCAGATAATAAAAAATACAGATTGGAAAGTTGGCAGAAAGGGGTCGGTTTTTTTTATATGGAAACCATGGCCTTTTCCATTCATTTATCCTTCAAGAGGAATAGTTACTAAATCGCAGATAATAAAAAATACAGATTGGAAAGTTGGCAGAAAGGGGTCGGTTTTTTTATATGGAAACCATGTAACAGTTCTAACACAATATCATTTTACCTACCTGTTGAAGAGCTTTAAAATGGACCTTAGGGCTTCTGTTTTTTACAGAACTTAAAATTCCAGGAAGGCACTAGTGATGGTAACTACAATGTGTATTCATAGCATAAAAGTGTACACTTTAAAATTAAAAAAAAAAACACTTTTTTTTGAAAATGTTCTACACTTTTATTTCAAAATTGCACCTGTATAATTTGTTTTGTTTGTTTTTAAATATCATTTGTATAAATAATATACAACATATTAAATATAGATATATTACAAAGTTCATTTATAAATACACATAATAAATATACTTAAAATCTAATTTATGTTTGGGTAGTTTATAAATAAATGTAATATACGTGTATAAGAGGATGTTGGGAGGACTTGGGAATAAAGGGGCTAAAAATGAATATTGATATTAGACCGGAAAAGAGAAACCTTATAATTTCCTTTTGGTATGTCCAAATCACTATTTTATACTAATATTGGATGGATATTTTAGTAGAAAGGTATTTTTAGTGTATATACAAAACATGTAACAACAATAATAGTTTTAAGATAAATCAAAACAATTAACGGATGAAAAAATAATATTCTAAAAAAACATAAAGGATGCCTCAACAATTGTCAAATATACAGCCTGTTCCACGATATCGAAAGAACACGTTCGCACAACTTTTACACGACAAACAGCTGATTTCCGTTCCACTAAAATCCATCAGAACGAAAATTTGCACGAAAATCAATGCGAACGAAAACGTAAGCGTTTCAGTGTAATTTTGCGTTCCACTATCTTTTTTCTTTCGTACGCATGCGAACACAAATGTCAAAATCAGTCACTTGTGTGTTTGCTGTCGTACGATAACAATTAAGGAAAATCTGTTTTAAAACATAAACATTGCTTAATTGAAAATGGAAACAAAAATGTAAGTAAAAATAATAAATCCAATTTATTATGGGAACAATAAATAATTTTTTTATTTTCTCAATTCCAGCACGAAAAAATCATCAACTACACAGCTGCGGGCACTAGTTGAGTATATGGAGGAGAATCCCGAGTTTGCCAGAGGAGTGCCAATTTTTGGAAGCAGCAGGCAATCCCTGGAGGACCACTGGAAGAAGTTAGTTTTTAAATTAAATACCATGGGTCCTCCTTCCCGCACAATTGCAGAGTGGAAAAAGGTAAGTCAGAAAACTCGGCTTACGATCTATTTGTCTGACCGGCATTACTATTTACAGACGTGGGCCGATCTAAAGTCCCGCACCAAAAAGAAAATTGCGGAAAATAAAAAAGGGCTGCAAGGTACAGGGGGTGGTTTATACCGGTTTGAGTGCCTAACGGAGCTGGAAACAGCAATTGACCGGACACTCTTCTTGTTGAAGTCCGCAGCACCAAGTGGTAAAACTTTTGGCTACGCGGACGAAATAGATTACTGCTTCGAGGCATTGGATACCACCCCATCAAGACCATCCAAGGCCGTAGCAGTGGTAACACCTACCAGGCAGTTCAGTTCCCCAGAATCACATACCCAACAACAACAAATAAACGTAAAAACCTGTACCATCACAACTCAACAATATGCAAAACAACAGGCACAGTCAGCACACACACAACAAACTCAGACACAGTCAGCACACACACAACAAACACAGACCCAACAGCAACACCAACGTAAACAAACAACGTCCCCTCGTCAACACATGGAACATCAAACCGTGCAGAAATCACCCCCATTCAAATGCACATCACAACATAATTTTCCATCCACATCATCAGCAAAAAAACGTTCCAACGTCGGAGAGCAAAAACCTCTTATCCGTCGGCAATTGCGGCTGGTCGAGCAGGCAAATGCAATAGCCAAGGAGCAAGCAGATGCAAGCAAAAGGATGGCTGACGCTGCAGAGAGAATGGCAGATTGTGCCGAGGCCCAAACAAAAATGCTTAAGTCTATAGAAGCAATTCTATCAACTTTTTTGCAAAACAATTCACAAAACAATTAACTATAGTCCTTTTATAATAATTTAAACTAATTTTTTAATTTTTAATTTAATTTATTTTATTTTAATAAAAAATTCTTTTAATTTTACAAATTTATTGCAATTTTTCTCCTTATTGCGTCAGCTCTGCTTTCAAGATCATTATTGTCATCCACTTCGTCTTCCAGATCATCATCAATAACATCACCTGGCGGCTCTTCAGATCGGTAGTGTATGCACATGTTGTGCAGCGCACAACATGCATTTATAATTTGCACTACCTTTGCAGCGTCATAATGAAGGCCCCGAGATCCGATGATACATCGGAATCTGTTTTTTAGGACCCCAAAGCACCTTTCAATGACGTTACGCGCACTAGCATGTCTCTTATTGAATTTTTTCTCGGCGACATCTCTAGGGCTGCGGTAAGGCGTCATAAGAAAGGGCTTCAATTTGTATCCTCCATCCCCTATAAAAAAGAAAACACAAATGTAATTGATGTATTATGATATAAGATGTATACAAATTACTCACCGAGAATCCAAAAGTTTCGTTTTCCATTGTCAAACTCCCTTTGCATACACTTGTCTGGATCACTCCTTTCCCATACAAATGCATCATGGTTGCTTCCGGGATGTCTAGCGTCGACAAATGTTATACGCATTTTATGGTCACATATCTAATTCGAAAAAACACAATAATTTTAAAATCGCTTTACGATAAATGTATTTACTTACCACCATTGCATTTATACTATAATAACCCTTTCTATTATAGTAAAGGGCTTTCAATTCGTCCCCTGGTGACTTGATGCGGATATGCGTGCCATCAACGCATCCAACAATTCCAGGGAACATTGTTCTTTCATAGAAAGCCTCCATTGTGTTGCGTTCCTCTGTAAGTGTCGGCTTTTTTATCCATTGGCCGCAAATGTGGTCCTCAAAAATCTGCAGACATTCCGCAATGGTTCTGCTCACTGTCGACTTCGCTGTTGAAGTCAAGGCTTCGTTCCCTAGATTCTGTTGCCAAAAACCGCAAGAATGTGCCAAGTTTTAAATCGGGGCGGATTTGGGTAGTTCTGCAACCGGCCACCCACTTCTCTTCCATCATATCCAAAAGAGCCCGAAAAACTTCCTTCGACACACGAAAATTGGCCACAAACCTAGAAAAAATCATTTTTTATTATTTCAAAAATGTAAAAATACAATCATACTTACTGGTTGTTAGGTACTTCAAATAAATTCGAAGCATCTCTTAAATGCCTCCGTGGCACATTTTGTACCTCCTCCTCATCATCCATAAAAAACAGGGCCACAGAAATATTCATTTTTTTCTTTTTTAAGAACACAAATAATCTGAACACAATCACTAGAAATTTTATTTTGTTTGTTTATTTACAATTTGTTTGTTTACAACTGAACTGTCAGTTGAGACAGAGCCACTGCTGCTTTTTCGCGTTTAAATTAGACATTTGGCGCTTTTTTTGCCTTATTTCGCGATTAATTTTGCCAAAAAATATTTTGCAACACTGAATCACGTAAGGCTATGCGAAAGAAAGAACGAAAGTTAGTGGAACGCATTCTTATGCGAAAGTGAGTGAGTAGCCTTCGTTCGCACAAATTTTCTTTCGAGATCGTGGAACAGGCTGATAAATTAAGTATTCTATGCCTAAGGAAATGGTTTGGCTAAGGTAATGTCTTTTACTATCACTGTAACTCTTATTATCTAAGAGATTTTCTAAAGTTTTCCATTTCGTAAATACTATTAGAGAGTCTGAAATAAAAAAAAATAGGAAGAATATTAGTAAGTAATGAAATCAAGAAATAGTTTCAATTATGTTTGCATACCTTCCAAATGCATTGAATAATGCAACAATTTCGCTGCGCTTCAATCGGAAAATGGGATCAATTTCAATATGTGGTTTCTCCCATAAACCGCTTTCGGTGGCAATGTTCAATTTTTCTGAATATAATATTTTTAAAGCTGTACCCAATCCCTGAGTCTGCAATTGAATAATAAAAAGTTGTCATTAAAAAATTCATAATCTATCAATATTATTTATTTTTTTAAAATTTCAATATTTTTATTTTGAAACTGTTTAATTGTGTAATTTAATTAATACAAATAATAAAAAAAGTGTACATATAAAGTTAAAAATTATTAAAACAATCTTACCTGTAATTTGCCCCACAATTTACACTTATCACAACCAACACAATCCATAATGCGAGAAATATTTCTAAATTTCTCTTTAAATTCATACTTAAAACGTATACCCTGAGGGCTGTGCGAAAACAAGGCATTCTCATCAAAATGATTTGGGAATGACCTAAAAAAAGATGGATCACATATTATTTGTTTTCAATGTTGATAATATGATTTGTTTTACTTACTCTATCACGGATAACAAATCATTAATGGCCATTTTAGTCTCCTGATCCTCCTCAACAATGCCCGTGTAAAAATTCTCCCTTCTCAGATAGGGTGCTGCCTTTTCCAAAGCCCTCAATTCCACCAAATAGATAAAATATAAATTTCTCAACCAATGTGGTCCTTCACCATTCGTTGTCTCCGGACTAAATCTACGTTTGAACTCCTGAATATTATGTCCCCATACACCTTGAGGTGATAGGAAATCTTTCGTTTCCGAGAGTAAATATTTCGAACATAAATGTATATTAATACTGGTGTGTAGACCGGAAATAATACGATAAAAGGCACGCTGTTCCAAACACATTTTGTGTAAATCGATTTGAGCCAAATAATCAGAAAATGTATTGCTACGATTTTGTACACCAAAACAATTTTCCTTATAGATGCTATTCCAGACACGATGTGCCGATTCACCTTTATAACCCGTATAACGTTCTGGATTTAATAGTAAATCAACATATTGACTGCCTTCATCATTTTCATCGATAATACAAAAATCTTCTTCGGCTTGATCATGTTTGGCCCATAGTTCGAATTCTTTGTGTGCCTGATCGCTAATACTGGTGTCGATAATGCCAAGTACGCTTAAAAGAAAATTGGTGATGCAGTCAGTCCCACGCAACACGTTTTTAGTTTTCTGCAGAAAAAATGTCAAATAAACACAAACGCTTGTTGCGTATATTTATTTTATTTTTGTCAGAAGAGGCCACACGTGCATAGTTGCTTTTTTGTTATTCACCTCAAGCTGCCGTACCTTGTAATTATTGTATCATGATACTACTACTTTTTATTTAAAATATATTTTTAAAAAGGATGACAAAAATCCTTTTTAATTTTCAAAATCTAGTCGCCCATGGTACAATTATAAAAGGTAACAGCAAATCCCAGCTGATTTGATTCCAACGTAATACTAGTGTCAATATGAATTTGACAAATTATGTTTTTAAAAATCACCCAACAGGAAAATTGGGAACGCATACAATTTGAAATTGTTCTTTATTAATGTGCTTCCGTATTCAATTTAATCAATCTGCCTGCTGGGAAAGTTTGAGGAAGCAAATCTTTCTTGAAGGAATAACTCGCTATTCCCAGCATTTTCATACGTGTTACACATATATATGGCAATGGCTCAATTAAAGGAAAGATGTGGAAGCGATAGAAATATAAATTTGATAGATTTTCATTCATGTTTTCCAATTTTTATTTTGAGGATTCGAAAATATTTCATTTTCAAAATAAAAATAACTTAATGATAATTTGTTTGTTTACATTTTTCTGTCAAATGAGTTGACACTAGTAGAACTTACAACAACAAATTTCCATTTGGTTGTTGTATCGTTTTTTGTACAACAACACTTGCTGTTAGAGTCTAAACGCAACCATAGAGTCTAGAGTCAGCGACAGTCGTTTGCCGTGTGGCTACCAGGGATGGAAAATAAAAAATGTGAAAAGGTACCACAAGAATACTTTTCTTAATAAAAGAGTACTTTTTTCAAGAAAATAAAAAAAAAACATTTTATTCAGTTTCATACAGATTGATTTTCAAGATATCACTTAGTGTATCTTTCTGATGGTAATAATATGACAATTCTTGCTTCTTTCGATTGTATTTGAATATGTATGCTATTGACTAATTTTAATTTCACTACCTCTTTCTAGAAAGCCAATATACCCCAAACAAACATGAGGATGCCAAATTGAGTATCTAACAAACATATCCATTTAAAAAATTGGAACTCATTAACCTAATGTAATGTTTGTAATTTTAATCATAACTGAACAGTTATCGGTCGAAAACCTGTTCATTTATTCAAGAGAAATATTCCAATCACATCAATATCTTTATCTGCATACGTATGTCGGTCAAATCCATAACAAATTCTAATCAAAATCAAATATATATATATATATATATATCATGGTTTAATGAAGGATTGGAATGGTACTGAAATGGTCACGGGGGTACTACGGTACTTTTTTGGGTAAAAAGGTATTGAAAAAAGTACTATTGTACTGAATTTTCCATCCCTGCTTGCTACCCAATTGCTTGGCTTGGCATAACTTCTTCAACCAACAATTGATTGATTGATTTTACACAAATTAGTGTTTTGTTTGTGAAATTAATGAAATTAAACAAAAACTTGCGCCTAAAGTGAAGAAAAACATTATTATTAAAATTTGAATTTGTTTGTGTGATTGAACACAAAACAAAGAGAATTTTGTACGTGTGTACTGAAGAATTTTCAACACAACCCCGAGCATGGCGACACAAGTATCAAACAATAAATCCGGAACAGGTTGGCCACGCCGTGGCAGCCAAGGACAAGTGGATAATGCTAACAATGGCTCCCAGAAGTTCAGTCCAAGCCAGTCATTGACCATAAATCGTACAATAAATTTGTAAGTAGATGGAGATATTGCGGTAGCAAATTGCAAATACACATTGTTGTGGGTTGCCGAAAGTGGGTGAGCGTTGTTACGTTTGGCAGTGTTGCCAGATGTAGCAAAGAGGGAATATGTTGTTATTGGAAGTTTTACCCCATATAGTCCCTTGAATGTTTTCCCCATATAGTCCAAGTTTAGATTAGGCGAGTTTACTTGCGGCAAGTCTTTGTTTGTTGGAGAGAGGGGCAAGGGGTATAGAAATGAAAAAAAAAAATTGCTCGTACCGACAATTTTCTGGCAATTCGTTTTGTGTATTTCGTATTTGTTGACATTTTATATATATTTAAATGTTTTGGAAACCGAATTGCCTTGTATAGACGCAAGGAGCAAGTTCAAAAGAGAACGATAAAAATTTCCGCAAGTAAACTGGAGAAGTCCATACTTCCTTAGATTGGCTGCAAAAGTTCCTCTTGGACCCTTTCAGATTCCAAAATCTACTATACGGCCCATTTTTTTTATATAGACTAGTTTTCGTAATTGACCGGCCATTAAGACTTTCTTATTAACAGATGCCAACAGATTAACAGAGGCCTAGATAAAATTGATAGCCATATATCCTTAATGAAAATAAAAAATACAAGGCTCACAGCGGACATTTTTGGGTTAATATCACAGGAAATATAGAGTTCTGCAACCAAAATCGTACTATGACTTTCATAGTGGGAAAATATGACATTGTTTGCCATTGGAAAGGCAGTGTAAACTATAGTGTCGTGTTTTTCCACTGATACTAATCAGTTCCTCTAATTATTTGTTAGTTATATTCTCTTCAGAAGCTATTTTAATAAATTCCATGCCAAAAACTTTAAACCCAAATTCATCTTAACGTAACGTCTGGTCTCTAATGTAATCGGCGAAACCTCACAATTGAAAACTTCGGCCATGACTTGTCTTCATTTTTGCAAGACATTTATAAACAAGATAATGCGGACTTTATCCTTTGTAAAAAACAAAGGGAGTTGATTACAATCAGTGGCGAGCTCCGTAATTCATCCTCATTTAATTTTTAATACTATTCGCGCCTATGTCTTACATTCTCATATTATATTTCTAGATATCCCCTTACAAATTATACCTTCGGTACAAAGGAACCACTTTTCGAAAAAGATCCTTCAGTTCCCTCACGTTTTCAGCGTATGCGTGAGGAATTTGATCGAATCGGAATGCGTAGATCCGTTGAAGGTGTTCTTCTAGTGCACGAACATGGCTTGCCACATGTACTCTTACTGCAATTGGGTACAACATTCTTTAAACTACCAGGAGGAGAGCTCAATGCCGGAGAAGACGAAGTGGAGGGACTTAAACGTTTATTGACAGAAGTAAGTTACTAAATCAATTATTGCAAATTTATACAGTCAGTAATATGTTGCAAGATCATTTTATAATGGTCAGTGGAGAAACCCCCAAGAAAAATAAGTCAATTGTAAAACAATGATTGAATTGAATGAACGCCACTAATAATATAAACTTTAATTCAAACACATTATGGGTGTAGACAACAAAAAGAAATTGTATATGTTGTAATTGTAAACTGAATTTACTATGCCACCCGTCAACAAATGATTGTGTATTATTATTATTTTGTAAAACATTTACATAGTTATTTGGCGTTGTGAATTGATTGATGTCTTGTTAATTTGTAATAGTACACACATCTTACCTTATATGGAAACCAAAACAAAAAAATGTATGAAACTGCAAAAATGTTTGTAAACCAAATAATTAATCCAAATGTTTTTATTCAGAAATTACTGCATTGTTATTGTATATCCGAATTGTAATTTATTTAGACTTTAGGCCGTCAAGATGGTGTTAAGCAAGAATGGATTGTCGAAGATACAATTGGAAATTGGTGGCGACCGAATTTTGAACCTCCTCAGTATCCATATATACCTCCGCATATAACCAAACCAAAGGAACATAAACGTTTGTTTTTAGTACAACTCCACGAAAAGGGTAAAGTTTTCATTTATTAATTATTTTCTCAAAACTATTTCATTTATTTATTTGTTAATGATGTCTAGTTTGTAAGATAGATTTTATGTGATGTAAAAAAAAAAACAAATTATGCGTGCAAAATAATGTATTTGGAAAATGTTTGGAGGACTGATTTCAATAACTTAAGTAATTTTCTGCAGTTAGAATTCTATTCAATTCTATGTCATATTTTAAATGTTGTTAACAATTATTTTTCAATTGTGTACATAACTGTTTATAAACAAAATTAATCTACTTTTTATATATTAAATGTTATAAGAACAATTATCAGTTGATGGTATAGTTTAAACCACTAAACCAAAAATCTATTTTCCTAATACATTGTATGCACGTAGATACCATTGTAATTGAATTAACAATAACATTTAAAATAATTTATTATTATCCTCGCCTAGGAACACGCTTGTAAATAATTTGTTAGAACCCCAATGATGATTGAAAATATGAAATGAACAAAGCCAAAAAAAAAAAAAAAAAAAACTTTACATAAGAATCAGAGTAATATTTTTGTATCTATAATTAAGAGAGTCGTGACGTCAATGTTACGTTTTTAATGACATATGAATGTTACAACTAATTTACTATTCACATATTTCAACTATAAATATTTCCCTTTCTTTGGCAAATATTTTGCAATTTTTTTCATACAAAGTGCCATTCAAATTCTTTTGCCAGTTTTTAATATGTGTTTAACTTTATGTTTGAATTTTGTGAATATGTCTCGTTTGTGTAAAGACATATGAGTGTGTGTGGTTTTTGTAATCACAATATATTTTGAAATGTATTAATTTTGTTCAAGAATTTGAATTGGCTGATACTTATTGTTAAAAAAAAATATCCATCACATTTACAAGTTTTTATAAGATTTGTAAAATTACTTCGAAAACATTTTTTCAATGTGTCCTGTGATGTGACCTTTTATGTGTATAGGCCACATAGTTTTAGTATTAGGATTATAGTTGTAGAATATGGATTTTCATTTTGAAGTTTTGTAAAATCTTATAAGTCAAATAATGTCGTTCTATATTTTTTATTTTATATTAGCTTTTATACATTAATTTTTATTGTTTTAAATTAAATATATCCCGTTATATCCCGTTAATATAATACAATTTTTATATATAACTATTCGGGTGCTAGAGTCCGTTGAAACTTCCATAGTCTGGGTTTATATATGTAAAAAATATAAAAATTGTATATTTCTATGTGAAATGGTATCAGGCTCGATCTATATACCAATTACACTGACAGGGTTAGGATTTTGTTTTTTTTTTCTGCGATGGATGAGATACAAATCTCAAAAAGCTACTCCGAAAGGGCATATTATTTTCAAAAATTAAAGCTAAACTGGTACGCGATTGTAAAACTTTGAAAGGTTCAAATTATGTAGAATTGAATAAATATGTTCTGGAGAACATAAAATTTCATTAACAGACCTCGAACAGCAAATTTTATTCAAATTGTATACTATCGTTTTCGAAAGCACTATTTTATTCCAAACATTGATTATAGAACGTCATTATTGAAACAAATTATCTATTAATACTTATATCATTATTAAAGTTGTATTTTTTTGTCAATTTTATACAATATTGTTTATCTTTCAGTTAAAAATATATATTTTAATCAATAATATTTCAAACAAGTTTGTAAATATGAACTTTTATGTACAGTCATGTGATGATGTGATCGAAAAGATGGGATTTTTGTCATATGACTGGATCGTGTATTTAAAAATCTAGAGAATTATTTATTTTATATGACAAAATATACATCGATTCGATTTAATGCAACACATCTGCTACTTTAACAGCAAATGCTAATAATATGTATAAGAATATCCTTATAACAACACCTTACAAATATACTTGCCACAAAAATTCTAACTTCAAAATTCTTAAAATTGTAGGAAATTAGTTTTTTTTTTCATGAAATAATTTTAAGAAAAGTTTTAAATCTATTTGAATTGTTTTTTAGTATACGAATCAATATTTGAATTTAATTTTGAATGTTTTTCTTTCTCTACCAATAGCTCTATTTGCTGTACCGAAAAATTACAAATTGGTAGCTGCACCCTTATTTGAGCTTTATGATAATTCACAAGGCTATGGACCAATAATTTCATCGCTGCCGCAAGCGTTATGCAGGTTTGTTTTGTAACATACAACTCTAACTGATTATATGTTCTAATGTATTTTTGTGTTAATATTATTTTAATTACAGATTTAATTTCATATATATGTGAGTAGAGTGTGCCTCTACATCCACGTCTGCGTCTGCATATCTACAGGAAAGCTCTTATTCCAATAGAGTCCTACAACAACAACAACAGTCATATGACGCAGAAGCCTATGATGATTATATGGACTCGAATTTGTTGCCCCGCGCAAATGTCCATAATTTTTGAACATTTCAAAATTTATTATTAATATTATATTAAAAAAAAACAAAAAGCTACATACAAAACAAAAATATAATAATTATTTAATAATAAACAAAAATCCAAATTATTTAGATTTTATAAATAGAAAGCAAAACTTACCGAATAAAACGACTAAATATTATTCTATATATAGCAAATGAAAGTCACGAATTTGTTTTTTATTATTCTTGAAAACAGATAATAAATGTAATTTCGGAATACATGCTATAACTGGTAGTAAATTATGGGTTCATTCACGAGGAATTGAAGATTAATAACAAATGTTAAAAATCAGAAATATTTAAAATCTGCCTTTTTTGCCACTGTGCAAAAGAGGAGTAAAAGGGAGAAAAGGGAAAAAGAAGAAGGCATCAAAAACAAATTTGATTTGTGTTAAAAAAAATCACCAATAAAATTTAAGGGAGTTTAAAAATGTCCATTTTTTTTAAGCAAAAAAAAAAAAAAAAAATAGTACCCAAATGGAACATTGAATGTTCATAATGGAAAGTAATACTGACATAGCACTTGGAATCTTTAAAGGTAGCAAAGAGGCTGCTGGTAAAAATGAAGATGACCTTATCTTCTTGCGAACTCCAAAAAATTTAATGCCGAATGGAAAACGGTTTGATAAATTGGTCTTGAAGAAAATGAAGAGACACAACGAATTTCTCACAATAGATGGAGAATTGCATCATATGTTGCCACATTTTCAAACTTTAATTTATTTTCTTTTAATTATAAAACAGTTTTACAGCGGATTCTTGACATTTCACATTTATCTATATAAATGGTAAAAAATATAAACGTAAATTTAGAGTACAAAAATTTCCATTTATTCCAAATGGCACAAAAAAATACAAAATATTACACTGTGTGGGAAGAAGTATAATTCTGAAGTGCGGTATATAGTTTTGTATGTTATAAACAAATAGAATACGAATGGAATAAAAGTACTAAATATTGTGTACGGTAGAACGGATAAAGATAGGAACCTGCTATTAAACGCTTATCACGAACTATGACAATAAGTTCTAAAATGCACTAAAAAGTACAACGTACTGTATACGGTGGTACGCGCGGATATAGAATTTGGGTATAAGGCTATTTCTATGAAAAACAACGCTTTTGGCAATTTTGTTTCATATTTGTACTTAACCCTTTGAGCTCCGAATTTTTTTCGTGACTATAGAACTATTTTCTGGGGGCAGATTTAATGCAACTATTCTAAATAGGATAAGAACAAAATTTGGCATCACTACATCCTTGCATTCGTAAGATGCAATACTTTCTTTCTGAAAAATAAAAGTCCAATATCGAGAAAAGCAAATGCAATATCGAAGACAAAAAATTACTTTTAATTATTCTTTAGGTTATATTTTAAAAAAATTAAAAATAGTTTGGAGAGTATAGATCGTACATTTGAAACGCGAATCGATTTAAATGATAAATTTTTTATGGAATGAAATAAAATATTTCATATATTTCCAATCCCACATGGATCTATACTATAGCGAATTATTATGTGAATTTTGGTTAAAACTTCCAATGTAGTCAAAAACGGACAAGACTTCATATACAAATAAGTTAAACTATGCAAACAAGCCGCTGAACGTCACAAGTCTAAAGTGTTTACACTTTTAAACGTAAATGTTTCAAAAATGTCTAAAACAATAGTACTGATATATATTTTCAACCACACTGGAAATATATTACTCAGTAGCGCTTTCCGATGTAATGAATAAGGGGCCTGGATCTTTATGTCGAGGATATACTAAAAATACTGACAATTTTTTCCATTCAGGAGTTTGAAACACGTAACGCACCAGATATACAAAATTTCTACAATTTTAATGGAAATCTTCCCTATGGAGCCAGGACTCTGCACAATAAATGATGCGTTCTGCAAAATTTCTTACAAGTACATATTTTACCATTAGTATTAAATTACTATAAGGAACAAACAAGTTTAAAATATGTATTATGGTACTAATTACATTGGTCTATTGGGAAGATCGAGAAAATGGTACAATTTCAGAAAATATAAAAATAAGTAAGTTATACTCGATTTAGAAGGATAAAAGAATCAAGAATATGAGATTTTTTTACTCCTCCCTACTCATTCAGAATAAGGCGAGAATGTGAAAGCGAAAACATTTTTCACAAGCAAGATCTCTCCCCAGCGAATATTCAGAATAAGTCTGTATTTGTTGTCCCTTAAAAAAGAGCACAAATATTTAGTTTGTGATACTTTTTAAGTGTTTGTACTTGAAATAAAGTAGAATTAAACTCTTTTTAAATTTAACTGTTATAAATTATATGCAGCCTTATTCTGGATATTCGCTAGCGAGACTTCTCGCATGAAAAAAGTTTTGCTTTCACATTCTCGCCTTATTCTGAATGAATAGAGAGAAGCAAAAAATGCGAGATGCGGATCCCGAATTTTTGAAAATGGTTGTTGAAAAGAAGATTCGTGTTGCCATATTGTAATTTAAGTTGTAATGTGTGTTGCCCCATTGTAATTTAATTTTGTAATATTTTTCATTATTTTATTTATTTCTTAAAAAAAATAATTTTTATTGTTATTTATACTTTATAACAATATAAATGTGTGTTGCACAACTGGTTCGAGGAAATTCCAAAGTTGTATCCCATATTGACAATGATTTTGCACGATAATATACCTCCATATATACTTACCTTAATATAAAAATTATACCACAAAATTACAACGCTTTTTGTATTTTCATATATTATTTATTTATTATGTATGCCATTGATACAATATTGGTATTTGACCACAAGACAAGAACGTGGATCTCATTTTGTTTAATATTAGAAAATTTTATAATTTTGTATTTTTTTCATTAGAAATAATTTATAAAATTATGTATGTAGCAGATCTAAAGAGCCTATGTCGTATCATAAATGTTTCTTTTATCTGTTATGAATATATGTATGTATGTAAAGAGATATATAAATCTTTCATTAGCTGCTTAGAGAATATAATCAGCATTTAATTTTTCATATGTTTGACCACTGTAATTGGAAGAAATACATTGATGTTTGGTATTGTTAATATTGAATTGTAAATAAATTTGTTGTGTTCGATATTTCAAAAATTATACCAAAAACAAAAATTATACATATATTATTTTTGTTAATTTTTGTTAATATATTGTTGTAATGTATTCGGTATTTATGTATAGATTATTACAGTAGTGAGTACATACTTTTTAGTTTGTGCTAATATTTTCACTTTTCATTTGTAAATCTTCGCTGAAATTGTGGAAATTATTGTTGATGTAAATTAGTGTGTGTGTGTGCTTGTGGGTGAGTGTATTAGCGATTAGCGTATTTTGTAATTGCAGTTTAGAGTAATGTGTTGGCTTTATAAAGAAAATACACTGAATTACAAAATGTATATAGTATATGTACATACACACAGCGAACGAAAGAAAATAGGTTCACTCAATTTTGTTAATAACTTTTTGGAAACTTGTATTTTACATCGCGTTAAAACGATGTAGATTTTTATTGTTGTAGCTTAATGCTCATTATATATATTTTTTTAATTTAAAATTGTTTAATTTTCGTACTTTAAGGGAATGCCATGGTAAAAACAGTTTTGTATTTGAAATTATCTCGATTTCGTACGGGATTTCCAACAAATCGATATAATTAGATGATTTAATTTTGTATGGAAAACCGATTTAGCTAATAAAACAAAATTATGAATTTTATCACGATATAACAAATTTAAATAAAAATTAACTTGTGAATCTATATTTGTTTCGTACACAATATATATGTAGCCGAAAATAAAGTTTAATTAACTAAGGCTATAACACATCGGCTAGATAGCAAGCTATGTAATTCAGTATAGTTCCTTGGAACTGAGTGCAATAATATTTATTTTTTTTAATATACATATATTTTGGTTATTTTTTTATTATTTAGGTACTTAGGATTATTGATGCTGGTAGAACAAAAAATAAAAGCCAAAGGCAATAACAGTAACATAAATATAACAATAAGCAAAAATTATTGAATTTAAACAAATTATAATTATAAGGAACATATATGAAGGAATTTCGGTTGATAAGTTTTGAGTTCAATTTTGAGCAAAACATTTTACAGAGGATTCCAGGCTAGGGATCGACTTCAATTCCAATTGTTAAATCGATATTAAAATCTGCCGACGTTGTTTTTGATATTTGGATTTGAATGCAATAAATACCAAGATTGCATACTGATATGTTCGGATATTAAATGATGTGAGGAATTTACATTTTTTTGTTGGATTTAATATATGTTGAAGTTTGGAATTTGGTGTTTTCTCCCTTTATTGAGACCACAACATTGTGAGCGATGTTCGTAGGTTAAAAAAAGTAGCTATGTAGGAAAGAGCTACTGCGTGAACGACGCAAGCCAATGGTCAATGACATTATTGGACCATACCAATGCGGCTTCAGGATTGCCAAATCCACCTTTGACCAGATTTTCACTCTGTCGACAGTCCTATTGTTCAGAGGTGTTAAAAGCCATGTGTGCATAAGGCATTCCTGCAAAATAAGCCCTTTAAGGGAACCCCCCCCCCCCCATTCTCGATTTTATTTTTTCAAGATTTTCAATGGGCTGGTAAATCAATACCAATGCTTGTTAAGGTTTGTAACTTGGCACATATATAATTGAAGATTTAAAAGAGAAGAAAAAAATTTACAACAAAATTTTGTTATTGTTTTGTTGTTGTTTTTTGTAATTAAAGAAAAGTCCTTATTTTTGATGGCGGGCATGATAACTCCTCGATGGAACATCGGAATCCGAAAATTCAAACGGTGTTAGAAAGAGTACATGTCTGGCTCTCGTATGAACTAGGATTATTGGCTTCGCTCTAAAATTAACAAAATGGTGGACCTTTGAAAAAATATTTTTGGAAAATCACCGATTTTTGACCAAAAAACAAGTTAAAAATAAGGAAGATCTTCACCGATTGGCTTTATCCTAGTTCATACGAGAGCTATACACTCCCAGAGAAACGTTGCAAAATTTGGAACCGATTGGATTATTAGTTTTTGAGTTATCGTGCCCGCCATTCGCAAAAAAATGTTTAGAGAAAAACGCGTTTAAAGTTTGAGAAGCCCTTCAGCCGTCACTTGATGCGGACACAATAAATCGGATATATCTTCAAGAGTTCTTGAGATTTTCACTTGAAATTTTGTAGAGACATTCTTTAATCAGTTTAGATTCAAATTATGTCAACAAAAATTTTGACCCCGAGAATGGGGGGGGGGGGTCCCCTTAACACGTTAACTGCCGTGTCACCCGTATTCGGGTGATAGCAAAAGTTCTCATAAGGCCACGTCACCCGTATTCGGGTGACAGCAAGAGTTCTCATCAGGACACGTCGGGTGACTCCTTCCAAATTACGATGTTTTTAAACATCGTTTATTAACAAAATTATTTACATTGAATATTGAAGCATTCACTGCAATGTTGCGGTTGACCACGGCAGCTTGTACAAAAAGTAGTGAGTTTTCTGAGATTTGCTCGTACCTTTGATCGTTCGAGTTCTTCTCTTTTATTTGCGTAACACCGCTTGCATGCGCGTCTAAGGCTTTTCCCCAAATTATTTCTGCGAACGGCGATGCAATGCGTATTTCGTCTTACAGTGGTACGGGTGGCCTGACGGGGATTTTGTTGTAAACACGCGTGGCAGTCAATGTGTTAATACCGAACGAGGATTCAGACAAACTGACAGTTTGTCGTGTGATCTTTTGAACAGCCTGCTGGAAAATGTTATACGAGAGGCAGAGGTGAACAGAAATGGCACATGTTACTCGCCTACGCCGATGATATCGATATAATGGGTCGAACATTGCGAGCAGTAAAAGCCCACCCACCTATGAACAAATTGAGAAGGAGTCTGCCAAAATGGGTCTGTCAGTAAATGGCGAAAAGACCAAGCTGATGGTATAAACGCGCAAGACGTCCAGTAGACTCCTGCCAATTGTGGAATTTGAGAACTACAGCTTCGAAGTAGACAAAAAATTTATATACCTTGGTACCGCCATAAATAAAACTAATGACAACAGTTTTGAAATCCGGTTGGTCCAACAGATGCTACTACAAGGCCACCTCCCGCCAGACCAAAATCACACCCTACAAGACCCGTGCTTGTTTATGGATGAGAAGCATGAGTACTTGTGCAAGTAGATGAGACAGCTCTTGGAGTGTTTGAGAGAAAAATTCTCGGCGTTGACGGTGAATATCGCCATGAGTTGTATCATTTATTCTCGGACATCGGAATTATCAGACGTATCGAGCTGTAGTGACTAAGTTGGCAAGGTCATGGCGTGAGAATGGATGAGGATGGCCCAGCTCAAAAGGTATATAAAAGCGAACCAATTGATGGCTCAAGTAGAAGGGGAAGACCACGAAGTAGATGGAAAAACCAAGTGGGGGAGAACATTGCGAAACATGGTATTTTAAATTGGAAAAGCTGCGCGCAAGACCGACGCCCCTGGAAATCTTTTTAAAGCTCGGCTGGAACAAATGGAACAAATGTTTTGTCAAAAGCCCGCTAAATAAATATGTGGGAAATTAAATATTTTTTATGACAGGAAGACATGTACAGAAATTCTCACATTTCTGGAAGTCGTTAAATGGGTCAACTTCAGGTCCATTCTTAAACAACCACTCCACAGTAGAGAGATGAGTACTCAAAAAATTGTAAAAATTTTCAAATTTACTGCAGGTTCTGGAACAGATAATTTTAATATGAAATATGTGACGACGTACTCAAAAAATTGTAAAAATTTTCAAATTTATAAAAGTAACATCGATTAATAGAAAATTACTGCAGGTTCTGGAACAGATAATTTTAATATGAAATATGCGACGGTAAATATTACCGAAATAGTAGATCAAAAATTGCCTTTACGACATTGGAAAGAAATCATGACGTTTCATTCATTTTAGTAGCGTATATTGATTTTATATCTGACGGAATAAGCCGCTACATACAGAGTTGCTTTTTGTATTATTGTGGCATGTGTTTTATAATGGCGTACATTTTAAATCGTTTTCCAAGCAATGTTATTTAAGTTTATTCACCAAACTCCATACATTGGACATGAACAAAAATCATATAGACTAACATACAGTTTGAGAAGCAGTGCTCGAGTATAACAGCTTGCATAGAGTGTAGTTTTAATAAAAAACGGGTTGGAACATTGTGAGGTGGGTCAACTACTATAGTGACAAAATTAGTGAAAGGAATTAAAAAGAAAGGGGGATTGGGGGGAAAATTATGAACGTGGATTTGTGGTGTGGTATTTTTTTTTATTATTTTGTTGTTGTTATGAACAATTAGTTACTTAGCGACAAATGGTTTCTGTTAAAAATATTTAATTTTTTTTTTTGGTATTCCAAAAAATGGGATATCAGTAAATAATTATTTTCATTAACAAAACATTATCAAATGTGTAACTTGAAATACTCAAAACGTTGACCTTCTTAAACTCTAAACTATGTTATGTTGTTGTTTTCTTTTATTTTTCTAATATATGCCTTTAAATGTTTAATATGGTGTTCGTTAAATGATATTTGTTTTTGTATGTCCGTTTAACAAATGATATGAAATTACCACAATTTATTGTGATAAAACTTCAAATCATTATAACCCTGATCGGTGAGACCTTCACCACTTGACACTGTGGATATAACATCGTCACCCGGATGACTGGCTGTTGGCGACAGGGCACACTTCCCAATGGGACGAGTAATTTTTACCACACCGAAATCTTCACGTGACTCCTGATCGAATTCCATTTTTGTGGTGGGCGTTACAGCCATACCGACACCATACGAGCGATTTTTCATGCCCGTGTGTTGTTTGCTCAATTGGAATGTCGGCGGTGACTTATGGCTATCCGAACCGACAATCGATGCCGTCGCCTTGGAAGCCTGTGATGGTGTCTGTACAAATGATGAGTTTTGTTGACTATTGGACGGTTCATGTTCGGCGGCGGTGGTGT